CACCACTCTCTTTTTCTTTGAGGTCACTTGGTCAGGTGTTGCCATAGAAACGCACCTATGAGCAGTGCTGACAAGGACCTGGTGTTTTACAATCAGCCTCATAAGGAAAATCATTTCATTTTTAACATTTTTAATTATCTGTTAATCTGTGAATTTTTAAATAAAAAAAAACGTAAAACAAAATAGACATTAATAGAGAACAACAATCTTTCAGTTTTTTATATTGACAATTTCCTGATTTACATATAAACCATACTCTAAATGTGCAGGGTCTGCTCCGGTCCAGCCAGGTCAAGATCCGCTATTGCAATCACACTAAACAGTAAAAAAAAAACGGCAAGAAGATCCGGTTTGTCAAATTAAAATATAGTAATAACAGATTGGTAACTACAAATTAGAGCATGATTCTTATATATTTAAAAAAAACTAACAGTGTTTATTTAAAAGATTAGATGCAAACTATTGGTCCTTCAACAGACCAGGAAGCAGATTTCTCATCTCCATCAGAAACCACACATCTGCTGGATGCTGATGGGGATTTTTTAATATGTCATATTAATGCCTTGCATGCTGTCCTCAAGCTTCAAGGATAAGTCGGAGTGCAGCAATATGGGAGGAACAGCGGAAGCTGTAGGCTTTGCTTTGCGCAGGAGGTAAGGAGCGCAGCAGAGACGGAGGATGGGGGATTTTGGGGTTACATTAGAAGCTGCGCCAGTGAAGTTAGACAATGTCGCCAGAAAACATGTGATAATTTATAAACGTTTTAAATCAGGTTGGGTCCAGATTAGCCAGCAGGTTGGTCCAGATCCGGATCACAGTTCTTTAATCAGTGACCTCTGCTTTAGATTATTGCTTAGCGTCAATTTGTTGAATGTAAATGGGTTTTATTTTCCACTAGAGTTTAAATTTTGTTGATTGTTTCTAAATAGAAAATTTAAATGTAAAGGTTTCCAACCCTTTTATTAGAGATTGTACAGGCTGATGCTTTAAAAGCTGCGTTGATTAAATCTCGGTGTAACTTTTTCTTTCCTTTTTTTTTGTTCTTTTGCTGTTATTTAGGAAAGTGTCTGCAAACCTTACATTAACCTTTTATAGGATGATCCTTTATTTCTAGTGTCTTCTTATTTATGCCCCTCCACACTAACTCCATGTGAACCTGTGTCTATAGATCAGGTTATATATTTAATAAATGTCTGTAAAAATTGGGCACTGTAAAAAGTTAAACACTGTAAAGATATCTTCTACAATAAAAAGTAACCACATCTTATTTGGTGTCTCGTTTTTCTCTCTAATATGTGATGTGTTTTAAAGGCAAGGGATGCTGTCAAACTGAGAGTCCATGTAATGTTTAGTAGGTAGCTCCCATCCACAGGAAGCCAGAGTCTATACCAAACTTTCTAGTTAAATATGGAGATGTGTCTATATAAAATGGCTGTAAAAACAACAGCATTCAAAATCTGCTCCAAGAGAGAGAAAATTAATAATTACCCTATGGTGGCTTGATAAGCTTAAAAGCAAAACACTGTTAAGCAAAAAAAAAAATATGATCCTCCTTTTGTTAAAATTAAATGAACAGTCAGATCTCTTTGGTTAAGTTCGGAGCTGGGTACGTTTTTGTTGCTTTTAAGTTGTTATTGTAAACTTCGAAAATGTGTGGGACTGCTGCCAATTCTCACAGCAGGTAAACGTTTGCATGGGATATTGCACATTTACATGCAAAATAATAATTTTTTACATGTTTTTTTTCTGTGTGGGTTAGTGTTTTGGCTGCCACTGGGTAATACAGATTGTCAGCATTTGATTATGTTCAAGTCAGAAAACTGGCTAGGCCACTCCAGGACATTGAGGTTCCTTTCTTTAATCATTCTTTATTCAGATCTCCCTAAATTCCCTGAAAGTGGTTGCCTGTGTCCTTGGGCTCCACAAAAACTACAAAATCACAATGTAAAAATCCCATTAACTTTATAAAATCATGGCCATTACAACAATTGTGTGTGGAAATTACATATTTAAAAGTTATTTAGACCGAAATCCAGACTGTCAGAATGGAAGAATTAATTAATTTGGATTGAGTTTGTTGAATTTAAAGAATAGTTTAAACTCAAACTTCAAGAGACTATCGGAAGAACATGCTAGTGAATTTGAAAAATGACTATGTACTGAGAATGCTAAATAACAGCAAAGAAGAAACAAAGCAAAATACACCTAAACACCTTTATCTACCCAAAAGAAAATTGGATCCATTTCCTTCCCACCAGGTTTCAAATGTTCTTCAGACCAGACGGCTTCACAGGGAGTCATACAGGGAGAAACATAGTTAACATGTTGATGGAGGTAAAAAATAAATGCGGCTTTAGTGGTAAAATAGTCGCTGTTTTTACAGATAAAGCTGCCAACATGCTAGTTGCTGTCTATCTCACTGACCTATTACAGTACATGTTGGCTGTCTTACCAATGTGCTTAATTTTGCTTCACAGTCTGCTCTTAAAACTGCTGCAGTCACACGGCTTTTGAGCAAAGTAAGATGCATCTCTGCTTTTTTTCATCAAAGTACTTTGGCCTGTCGTGCCCTCAGAAAGATTCAGAGGTTGTTGGACCTTCCACAGCACAAACTATTAATTGATGTCCCTCTGAGGTGAAACAGTGCTTTAGACATGCTGGAGAGATTCTTGGAACAACAACCAGCTGTCTCTGCTGCCTTACTCACCCCTGCCAGTCTGGGTCCTTGAGTAAGACCCTTAACACCAAACTTCTCCCTTGGGGCCGCACAGTGGCATCCCACTGCTTCTCAAGGAGATGGGTTAAATGCAGACGTGAATTTCTCCAGTGTGAGATTAATAAAGTAATATAATTATTATTATGGCAGCAGAGGATATTGTACAGGCTCTTAAGCGATTAAAGAAAGCCACCATAGTGATGTCTCAGGAAAGCACCTCTACTCTGTCTGTCATTGCAACCCTAAAGCTGAGCTAGAGGAAGTGTTCACACAACTTGTATCTTGTAGCTCTCACCAAGGAATTAGCCACTGTTAAAAGTTCATTGAGTACTTAATAATAATAAAATTCACACTATAATACATTTTTTTTCTTGTTGTCAAATGGAATGCTAATCAGCCTGTAATTATTTGAACACTCACCAGGAAAGAAATTGAACTATATTTATTTCACATTTTTAACCCCAAAATGCATATCCAATTAATTATATCAAATTATAAATCTGTTCTTTATTAATGAAATTTTATATTTATTTATATATATTTTTTCAACAGCACCAGAGAGGGCTGATAGATGTAGAAGATGAGGTAATTGAACCCCTGATTACCCTTCTGGACCACCATCAAAGAAAGCAAGGGACTCTCGTGCTCTGGCTGATCTCTTTGGAAGCTCATATAAAACTCCACTAGCAGTGACCAGAACCAAAGATATGAAGGCCTTAGATGAGGTGATGCGTTATAAAGAGGTACAACCACTGTGACTCTCCACAAATCCACTCCATTGGTGGAGAGAGCATCCCTCTGCATCCCAGGTAGTGTGCCTGCTGAAAGGATGTCTTGGCATCAAGAATCGATGCAGTAGATCACGAAAATTAGAATCACGATGCATCATCATCACGATTATTTTGCACACCCCTAATGAATACCCAGCCCTACTGCTTTACAACCACCTTTTCAAAGTTATATTTTTTCATGGTTGTATTCACAAGGACGTCTGAAGGTCCCGGTGAATATTGTTGTTTATTTGTTAATCTAACAAGTTATTTTGGTTGTTTGTTTGCTGCAGTTCAGAGCAGGGGCCTGTTTCAGAAAGGAGGTTAAGTGAAAACTCTGAGTTTGTTAACCCTGAAATGAGGGAAACTCTGGTTTTTCTGTTTCAGAAAGGGAGGTAAGTTAAACCTGAGAAAGCAGAGTAAGTCAAGCCCGTTTCTGAAAGAGAGGTTACTTATACTCAGAGTCAGTTACCATGGCAATTTACTCTGTGAACCTAACCTGGTAAGGAGCAGGTTTTCTTCAGAAAATCCGGAGTTTATTTTGGTCTCCTCCCCTTTTTTAAAGAGGAAGTGGTGTTTAAACATCTCATTGATTCTTTGGGGACATACAGTATTCATTGCACACATTTCAGTCACGTAGAGCGCATCAAAGGGAATGAAATGGCATGTCCTTTTATGGATGATCCTGTTTGTAAAGCCAGGTAGCTACTCTACTCCCATGATGTGCTCAAGGCTTACCTGCTTGAAGTATGTTTTTATATTTCATTTTCAGCTGCTGCCATGTTCTTTTGATGCCTGCAGGATTGCACCTATCCATGAAAACTAAATTAGGTTTAATAAAATACTGTTCTTCCAGTTTCACCTCTGATATTATAACAGTTGGGTAAGTTACTCTAAAATAGTTCTTAATTACTAACTACAAATTTTATCTTCAACAAGTCTAATTAGATTAATGTATTAATTACTGTCTCTAGAAAGTATTGGTCTACTTACTAATTTGTTTTACTTACTTATTAATTACTTTCTAAATCCCAAATCAACCTCAACCACTTGAACAATACAAGGAGAGACAAGAAACTGCACCTCTAATGCCTTCAAATAAACAATATTCAATTGCATGAATTAATCTTAAATTGACCAAAGTGTGTAACTAGAGGGAGAAAGTTCAAATCAAAATATACCTTTTAAAATTTGATATTAAATCCACTATTGTTTTATAGTTGTAATGGGTAGTTAACAATTAAAATTAAGTTTCTTTAACTATTTAAACTTGTAACTATTTATATTTAATTATTTATAGGATATATTTATTGTAAATTATTTATATTTAACTATTTATAGGATATATTTATTGTAAATTATTTATAGGATTGCAGATTGTTTGATTATATTTGTCTGTTTTGATTACCACTGTTTTGTATTGTGTTTTGTTTATTGTAATCGCATGTTGTAAAATTTTTCTTATGTACCTCACGGGCTGCCGCAGCTTAATGAGGACAGGCCCTATAAAGGCTGCTGTATCAATGAATGCCGACAATAACCCTCAGAGCCGTGCTTGCATTGTGATTCTTAGCGTTCCCTGGTGAAAGCAGCGAGGTATGTTTTATTTTGTTTGTGTGTTGTAAGTTTATGTTTATATTCTAATATTTGTATTTGTTTAGTTTTCACGGTGACATTGATGACTGAGATGATCCGCATCAAAGAAAATAAACATTGAAAATCACCTGTCGAGACCGCTGAAATTTCATTCACTGCTGGGGAGCTGCTACAGTGAAAACTCGTCGCTTCTGTGCGTCTGGACATCCATTGACGGCGAGAATTCTGGATCTGACATCGGCCGAAGTTTGACGCAGCATCAGAGTCAACGCCTCCATGAGGAGTTGTCTTCGCGGTGGATCCAAGTTTGCTTCAGAAACTGAATCCAACAGATGATCGCTGGCTTGGTGAGAAATTGACTTATCAAACACGGAAACAACTTGGAGATGACGTTACCTGACTTTTATTGGCGTTTGTGAAATTACGCCGAATTATTTAAAAGGTAACTGGACTAATTAAGAGGAAGAAAAAAAATAAATAAAATAAAATAAAATAAATGGAAAAAAAAAAAATAACATTTATGGGTTTAATTTCACTGTAAGGTTTAAGTCATTGTAAAGGGTTAAGATGTCACTGCCAAGTGTAAAAGGACTTTCTACTGAAGATGTGTGCTCTGATGTAAAGCCAAAAGGACAAGAGTTGGTTTCAGGTCCACGGACAAGAAAGTTAACTGGAAAGGAGAGCAGTACAGAGAAGCAGAATCTGCAAAATGGACAAAGGCATTTCTTAAATCTTATGGATCCTGGAAGCAAATCGTCAGGGAAGCCAGGAGGAAATTAAAAGGTTTCTGCTCTCAGGAGAATCTGAATGAAATAAATCAAGTCCAAAACAGTCTTGATACAGTGAAACAAAATTATGAGTGTCTTCAACGTAATTCTTTAAATACTCCAGATATTGTGCAGAAACTAGATGCCTGTACTATATTAACAAATGATATTTATGATCTTGTGTGTAAGCGTTTGGAAGGGAGTATTGTTGAAGAAAATTTTAATCAAGAAGTTGAAAAGGAAAGGGTGCGAGAAATCTTAAATAGAGATGAATATCAGTCTGTTTTTGGAGAAGCCTCTACTGAAAATTCTTCATGTGCATATGGTTCATCAACTACCAGTTCCAAAGTTTCTCAAGAGCGGGTAATTGCAGAAGCTGATCTTGCAGCCAAAAGGGTTCAAGTTAAATCCATGTTGGAGATTGAAGCTCAACATGCTAAAGTCAGTAAACTTGAATGTGAGTGGAAATGTCATGAGTCCCAGATTATGGCAGAAATGAAGCAGAAGGAGGCTGAAGTGCTGCAGCAACTTGATGAGGAAAAGAGCAAGTTAAAGGTAATGGAGACTGATATGGAAGTTAAAATGGCTGCAGCTTGGGTTGATGTTTACAGCAGACTTGAGGATGGTGTTGAAAGGGAAAATCTTGATTTTGAGCCTGAAGTTAAGTCAATGCAACCTTTAAAACACCCAAGAAAGTCGACTGCAAGGGCTGCAACTATTTTACCATCTCAAGTTTGCTCTGAGATTTCTGCAGTAAACTTGGCTGAAGCCTTAACGAGCTCGTTAAATTTAAGTCGCCTCCCTGTTCCTATACCTGCCATATTCTCAGGTGACCCTTTGAAATTTGTGGACTTTAAGATATCATTTACAACTTTAATTGATTCAAAAGCCATCTCTGCTGGAGAAAAAATGTTGTATCTGAAAAGTTATCTCTCTGGAGAAGCCCGAAAGGCTGTAGAAGGTTTCTTTTACAGAAGTTCTGAAGATGCATATGAAGGTGCATGGGCAGTTCTTCAGGAGAGATATGGAAACTCGTTTGTAATTCAGAAAGCATTTAGGGATAAACTTAAGTCATGGCCTAAGATTGCACCAAATGATCCATCGTCTCTCAGAGATTTTGCAGACTTTTTGAAAAGTTGTGAAGAGGCGATGCCTCAAGTTATAGGACTGTCTATCTTAAATGATTGTGAAGAAAATCATAAGATGTTGAAGAAGTTACCAGATTGGGTTGTACGTAAATGGAGCAGAGTTGTTGTTGAAGTACTAGATGCATGTGGGGAATATCCATCTTTTGAATGTTTTTCTAGATTCATAAAAAAGGAAGCACGCATAGCATGTAATCCTATTGCTTCTCCATTTTTGTTAAAATCTAGAACTTCTTCAAGTGATCTTTCCAGAAAAGTAAAAGCTCTTAGTACCAGTACGGAGTTCAAGAAACAAGAAACTGTTCATGTTCTGAAATCTAAACTGCCTTGTTTGGTTTGTACAGACACGTCGCACAGTGTTGCTAAATGCCCTAAATTTGCAGTTAAATCAATGGAAGACAAAAGGTCATTTATACATCAGAACCATCTTTGTTTTGGATGCTTGAGGAAGGGCCATTTATCGAAAGATTGTAAAACACTCCATGTTTGTGGAGAGTGTAGACGGCATCATCCTACTTGTTTGCACCAGGAGAGAGTAAGATCTCAGGATGCTGCTCAGCAGTGTTCCATCTCTTCAGAAGAAACACCTCAGGTTTCTCGCAGTGTCTTGTCTCATGCACTCACCCAAAACATTTCTGCAACATTGAGTATTGTTCCAGTTTTTTTGTCCTCTGTGAAGGATCCTGGGAAGGAAATACTTACTTATGCACTCCTTGATACTCAGAGTGACTCCTCCTTTATCCTAGAAGATCTTGTGAAAAACTTGACTGTTGAAACAAAACCAGTACAGTTAAAACTTAGTACTATGGTTTCTGTTGATACACCTGTTTCAAGTGAAATTGTGTCTGACTTGCAGATTCGGAGCTTTTTCTCTGATAAATGTATAAGATTGGGGCAAGCATACACACGGGACTTCATTCCTGTTGATACATCTTGTATACCAAGTAGAAGTACAGCATTACAGTGGCCTCACCTTAAACATCTGGCTGGAAAAATGCCTGCTTTACAAGACTGTGAAGTAAGTTTACTAATTGGGTTTGACTGTCCTGCCTTGGCTCCTTTGGAAGTTGTTGTTGGTGGGGAAAATGAACCCTTTGCTCAGAAAACTGCTCTGGGTTGGAGTATCATTGGGGCAGCTAATCCACATTTAGATCGGCAAGGTAACCAAAGATTTGTACACAGAGTGATGGTAAAAGAAATGCCAGCTCCATTAACTTCTGATGTTTTAAAGGCTCTGGAGTTAGATTTTAATGAAAAGGGCCCAGAAGGAAAATGTGTTTCTCAAGATGACATTCGGTTTCTACAGCTTCTGAGTGAAAATATTACACAGAAAGATGATGGCCATTTGGAGATGCCCCTCCCGTTTAAAACACCTTGCCCTCCTATGTTGCCAAATAATAAGAAGCTGGCTACAATTCGTTTACAACATCTGAAGAGAAGGTTAAAGAGAAATTATCAGTTCTACAATCATTACAAAACATTTATGGAGTCTATCATTAGCTGTGGTGATGCTGAACTAGCTCCTGAGACAAATGCCAATGATTGTGTGTGGTACTTACCTCATCATGGGGTGTACCATTCAAAGAAGCCAGATAAGTTAAGAGTGGTGTTTGACTGCTCAGCTAAATTTTGTGGTACCTCTTTGAATGATACCTTGTTGACTGGTCCAGATTTGATAAACTCTTTAATTGGAATCCTGCTACGCTTCAGAAAAGAAACTGTTGCTATCATTTGTGACATTGAAAGGATGTTCCACCAGTTTTTTGTTGCATCAAAGCATCGTTGTTACCTTAGGTTCTTATGGTGGGAGCAAGGACATTTGGAGAGCGAGCCCAAAGAGTATCAAATGAAGGTTCACCTTTTTGGTGCTGCCTCCTCTCCAGGCTGTGCTAATTTTGGTTTGAAATATTTGGCACAACAGCACAAATCAAAGTTTCCAGCTGCAGCAGAATTTGTGGAAAATAATTTTTATGTTAATGACGGGTTAATAAGTGTCCCTACAGCTAGTGATGCCACCAAATTAATAACTGAAGCACAGAAACTGTGCAAAGAAGGTGGTTTGAGACTCCACAAATTTAATTCCAATAGATCTGAAGTCCTGGGCTGTGTGAATCCATCTGAGAGAGCCACTGTGGTTTCTGCTGATCTCAAGCCTGACTTGGCGCTTACCGAGCATGCCTTAGGTATGCGATGGCATGTCAAAACTGACTGTTTGGGTTTTCATATTGATCTAAGAGATAAACCTGATTCACGCCGTGGCATTTTGTCAGTAATAGCCTCTCTGTATGATCCATTGGGATTTATTTCACCATTCATTATGAATGGAAAGTGCATTTTGCAAGATCTGTGCCGAAGAAGTATTGGGTGGGATGACACTTTGCCTGAGGACTTGCAAGTACGGTGGGAGAAGTGGAACTTCAGCCTTCAGGATGTGGAAGGATTAATGATACAAAGATGTTATCATCCACAAGGATTTGGAAACATTGTTAAAACAGAACTACATCACTTCTCAGATGCTAGCAGCCTAGCATACGGTGCATGCTCCTATCTCAGGTTTGAGAATGACAAAGGTGAAATCCATTGTGTTTTGATCATGGCTAAAGCCAGAGTGGCTCCTTTGAAGATCACAACCATTCCTCGTCTCGAGCTTTCAGCTGCAGTGGTTGCTGCTAGGTTGAGTATGCTGTTAAAATCAGAGCTTGATATGAAGATAGATGCAGAGTTTTTCTGGACAGATTCACAAGTAGTGTTGTCATATATTAATAATGAAGCACGGCGGTTTCATGTATTTGTGGCAAATCGAGTCCAGATAATCAGAGAGAACACAAATCCAAATCAATGGAATCATGTTGACACCACTGAAAATCCTGCAGATCATGCGTCTAGAGGACTGTGTGCCTCTGAGATTTTAACCACCAACTGGCTAACGGGTCCTGAATTTTTGTGGAAAAGGGAGATAAAAAGGGAATTTAAATCCAGCCCTAATCTGTTAGTTGGTGACCCAGAGGTTAAAACTGTTCAGACATTTGCGACTACAACAGATGAGACTGCGGATTTTCTGGAACGTTTCACTAGATTTTCATCCTGGTCAACACTGATTAAAGTAATAGCCAGAATCAAAAGACTTGGACACAGAAACAAATGTTATTCAAATGTGGTGAGTGTTAAAGAATGTGAAGATGCTATGAAATCAGTGGTGAAACTTGTACAAAACCAGGCCTTTGGCTCAGAGATGAAGCTGTTAAAAGGAGGAAACATCCTTCCACGTTCCAGCCCTCTGTTCCATTTAAATCCATTTGTGGAAGATGGTTTGTTGCGGGTTGGTGGACGATTAAAACATTCATCTCTTAGTGAAGATTTTAAACATCCACTGATTTTGCCAAGAAACAGCCATATCACTCATCTTATTCTGTCCTACTGTCACACTCAGGTATGCCATCAAGGCAGAGGTCAAACCCAAATGCAGCTCAGAATAAAGGGGTTTTGGATTATTGGCTGCAGCATGTTGGTGGCTCAAATGATTCATAAATGTGTGCAGTGCAGGAAGCTCAGACGACCAGAGGAAGAACAGCTTAT